CACTTCGTACAACCCGTAATGTTTTGACTATCATATTTCAGCTGGTTTTAGTGATAGCAAACAATCAAAATGCCACAGTTTAGACAAAACATTTTTTAAAATTGGCGTTATATCTAATGTTTAATTTATCCGAAGATGGAGCCTTGTTTGTGCGTTTGTGGTCGTGCTGAAAACAGCAGAAAATACTTATTATTTAAGCACAACGCAAATTATTTGGTCAATAGGTCAAGATGATCGACCAGCGCCGACGTTTCGTTCTGAGAGTCGTATGACCCCTGTCACCAGAAAGCTAATTTACGGGCAGCAGCGAACTAAAACTCGCCTCTTTTTAGTTCTGAATTTGTGTACTGCTGCAGATGATAGAAGGATCTTAGACGCTCATTCATTTCTTTACTTTAGAGAATGCCAGTAAGACACGCCCAGTGTTATTTTGAATATTTGTTTTTATTTTTGTTCGTGCTCCAACAGTTTACCAGCAAGGCAGTTTCTCAGCCGTAAGTTACATTCAAATTTATGACTGGTAGATGTAACAACAGGAAATTTCAAGTACTCTTAGATTTAGCAACAATAGGGTCTTAAAAGGAATAGCAGTTGACACAGATCAGTGATAAAGACTCTTTTCAGTTCAGTGTTTACAGGCATTATCAGCAAAGCGATGTTTCTAACAACCCATTTTATGCATCTCCATAGTCACTGAATATTAAAGTGGGCTGCTTATGTTTTTTTTGTAAATGCTATTTCAGTATACACTGAAGTTTGTTTTTCTGGGAGAGATTTTTGTAATGACTGTGATCATTGAAATCGGAATTTTGTATATCGGATAAGGTTTTTTCGAAGTAGCTAACTCAGTGTTCCTCTCGCTGTTTTCTATAACAGGGGTTACCCAAATCGGGTCGCTCACCTTCTATACCTCCTATATGTCTGAGACGGAAATCGGGTAACTTTTTGTCGGAAAAGTAATAATAGGTGCATTGCACTCTAGTTACTGCTATTACCTGTAAAAAACCATCCTGACTGATGACTAACTTGAAGATTAACGCCACAACACAAGCTCTAATAAAGAAGAGTACAAATGCAGCGCGCAGTCATGGAAATATTGGAAAAAGTTGCATCTAAATTGTTATAAACTTTCGTTTGTTCTTGGAGAACTTTAAGTCTTCTTATAGTCCGCCGTTTCGGTTAAACAGTGAGAGGCTCGTACAATACAAAACAGCAGCAAATGTTCCTGTTCCTACAGTTGGCTTTGATTAGGCAGTATTTCGAACGAACCAATGTTTGCTGTATCAAAGTGATGGCATAAAAATGAGGTATCTGAGCTATCAAATACACTAATTATCAGATTCTGGCTACATATTTTCGGAAATAAGATACAGGATCGACATACCTTTTCAGCAGAAAAAAGTTGTTTTTTAACTTGCGAATGCTAAACGAATTTTCGTTGTAACGCAGTTATACTTTTCTCCTGTGCAGAAACACTAGGTGGCGGTTTTAAACTTCGTTGTATAAAATGTTTGTGGCTTATTTCGTCTACTTCGGTCCAGGCAGCGCTGCTTTTTTGTTAAAGCACTTATTATCGAAACGACAATACTGGTCTTTTAGAAATGTGGTGTCGAGTACATCAGAGGTACCAAAAGTTCAGAGACGGACGTCCCGACGCAGGCCAAGGTCACGGCTTGAAAAATGTCTTTTGTGGAAACCGAACAAAACGATGTTCTATAATTAGTGGTTCGTTTTATCATTTCTTGTGATTTAAGCATTTGTATTGTCTGGATTTTAGCTGTATTTTTAAATTAAAATTTTTGAAACCCATTTCTTTTGCTGTAATAATTCATTTAAGATAGAGTGGATTTTGATGACTAATCAAAATAATATGATGACTAAATAATAATAGTTTGCGACAGAAGTTTCTCGCTTGCAGTGCCGATCTTCAAGGCAAAACAAAACCAGAATGTGGTGCAAAAGAAGGTTAACTATGTTATCTACTGGCCAAGTATGTAGCTCGATTCGAACAACAAAGTAGTTTCTACATTTTAGAAATAAATCGTGTGGTCCTGCAGTCATTGCGCATGAACAATTTTATGTATTGCAGGTTCGGATACAGTCACTGATGCATGGGATAGGCAATCGCAAAGGCAATGTATCTTCGCTGCATGTGTTGCATGAACCAGGAGTACAAGCTCTTCGCGTTTCGTTTGCATCTTCGCATTTTGTTGCGCATGTTATATTTTGCAATATCAGATGTTTTAACAGAAGTGACCAAGAGTCATCCACGTACTCTAAGCACTAATGTGGCTTTTAAATGCTGTGAATATGTCAAAGCCTATGAGTTTTAGATGGCGCTTTATTTAACATATATCCATTTGCATTTCAACATCTCAAGCAACATTTCACCGTCAAGTTTTCATGTGCTTTGAAACTCGGCGAACACTTTCAATCAGGTTTTATGCCTGGAAGGCTCAAATACGACATTTGATATACATGGTTTCATGAAAATGCAAAGTTATCAATAACTGAAATATCATCAGAATTTATTTTGAATCAACTAAAGCAAAAATTCTTCGAATTTAATTTAACTTCGCAAAATAAAATTTAAAGCGTGCAGTGATATTCAAATATAAAACGAAATGCCCGCCATTCAGTCTCAGGGCGAGAACTAAAATTTCACCGGGAAAACAACTTTTGAAACAAATCGCCGACTTGTTACCGTATAACTATTGACATATTTCAGAAATTGTTGCTTAATTTAACACGTACAGGTCACGTATTTGTTTTTATACCGTTAATTTAGCAACAGAAACGATGCAGACCTATATGAGCAGTAGGATAGAGAAATTAAAATGGAAGTTTCTCATTCACATTAGCATCTCATCTAAAATTATCAAAACCCGGCAATCTTAATGAACAAAACAAAACAGTGTAAAAAAATGAAAATAATGACGAGATAAAAAATTCTCATCGCCCATGTGTCCGATTTTTGGATTTTTGCGATTTATTAGGCTTCTTTAGAAAGTACTGCACTTGTGCAACGATTTGTGATACCTGAAGTAACACAATATTGTTTTAGAAAAAAATTGTATTCTGTAACATTTTTTGAAAAAATTATCGTCGAAAAACAGCATTTTCATGCAACAGTTATATTCAGTTTCACACGACTGAAACGTTTACTCGTCTACCGTTATATTTGGTTAGATTTGCATGACACTAAGGTTTTACTTTACAACGAATTTACCAAAAAATTATCGTAGCCGCTTTTCCCCACGAAACTAGCTTACAAATTAGTAATAGTTCCCACACAATTCCAGCATGAACTTCGGCCATCTATAATTGGTTGAGAAAATCGACAATGTCATTGGCAACCACGGTTAAAACTTTCTATTGATTGCTGAAATCATAGCAAGTTCTGGCATATGATTATCCACAAAGTTTTCGTATAAGTGTGAGATAACTCATCCAGCGCTGAGCCAAAATCCTGATGGAATTCATTATTTTGGAAAATTTGAAGATACCTACAATTTACTGCTGCCTTAAACTATCAGCTACCTGGATCATTTTCTTGAAAATATTTCACAGATTGCATAACGCCAAATTGTTTATGACGTCGTGCTCCATTGGTTCACATGAGAATCATGGCTGATGGATGAAGATCATTTTCGTAGGTGATGCTCTCGGCAGCACAGCCACGTTATTAGTTGACCAGGGGCATGTAGAGTATAATAAGAGATGTTTAGGTTTCATTCTAGCTTCCAGCGTCATCAAACTATTCATTTCAGGAAGAAACTAAAATTTTAAAGTAAACAGATAATTGAAAAATTCATTTTTCACAATTGCTTTTGGACTTTACCTCCAAATAACGAATGAATATGAACTTCTTATAATATCCGTTCATTTTCGATGTGTCTGCAGAATTCGGAAAGTAAGAGTTTTAGCCTTAAATATTCAGAAGCATTACCTCTCACCATAATTTCGATTCAATTAATGACACAGTTTACCCTCTCTTAAATGCTTCTACTCCTGAGAAATTAAGAAACGTGATTAACAAATCAAGTCCCAGTTTATCCACATTCAGAACAGGTTTAACAAGAGTGTTGTCATTCCAATTGACTGCTTGAATCTGATGCGAAATCCATGCGCTGCTTCATATTCAACGATAGTCTTTGGCACTAAGTATTACTTTGCCACTAATCTTCACCACACACTTTCATGCTCCGCAGGTTATTGAGATGGCAGAATCTATAAAACTATGAAGCATTTCTGCTGGTGATATTTTCATATCTTGCTGAAGACGTATAGAAACGCTTTTTACTTTTTTTCATTTTCTCCCTTCTGGTTGCGGGGCAGACACGTAAGAGAGTGATTCAATCGTTCTTAGTCCTGTGCCAGAGTCTGAGATTCGGCAGAAAATAACTGGAATCTGGAGCCGACTGTATCCATATATTTGCACCACGTTCATCTTGGCCGTCACATGGATCTTTTGCCCATTGGCTGAGAAAGAAAAAGTTGCTTCGCGTTCCTTTCTGGTGGTATTCTGCTTTTTTTATAATGATTAATTGATTTTAGTCAAATCGAGGTGATTCTGGTCTTCATCCACGTGCTCAGGCCTCTCCAGTTTATTATTTTTGGAACGCAATAAATGAGATAGAGGACACTTGGGAATTTTTAAAAATTTGTAGATCGTTCTCGTACCTGATATGGATAAATCTACAGCACAGCAAATGTTCATGACGCAAAGTCAATGTAGGCCGCTTAAATTATTTTAATTTAATTTTAAACATGACAGATTTCATTTTCTAATATATTTTTTCTAAGCTATTTTGGATAAAACTTAGTCATCGAAACATTGCGACAACGATTCGTAGAAAATAGCAACACAATCGTTAATGATCTTGATGCATTTAAACAATGAGTGACTAAAACATCTTGTACTCTACGCCAGGTGTTCTATGACAGAAATATCA